CCCCAAAACCCCAAAACCCCAAAACCCCATCTCATTTATAAGCTATCGAATTTTTAATATTGTTTTATTCCAAAATAAAATGAATCGAACAGAAAAAGAAAAACAAGAATTGAAGTCTGCATACCAAGACCGGTGTCATCTCAAATTGGTTAACTTAAAGGATGGGAAAATGAGTCATTTTCAGATCGGAGGACCAGTGCATCCAATTCTACATAACCAATCAACTCCAGCAGACACCTCTAGTAATTTCGATGCTTTCAGAGACCATAAAATAGATGCAGATACAGTAACGAAACAGCTTAGGAAAATCAAAAAGACTTCGAAAAACATGAGAAAAGCCAATTTTGCGTTCTCTCCCAATCACACTTTTTACTCAGAGACTACTCATAATAACTCTTTGCAAGAACCAGATACGAAATTATTCGTTAATTATGTCAAGGGCAAGCAATACCAGTGAAACTTTGTACTAGGAAGTTCTTCTAATGAATTCGTCTCTACTACTGGCCAAGAGTTTGCCACTTCTCGAGAGAAGAAATCCAGAGCATATAGTGTAAACTCTCGAGAGAAGATTAATAAATTCAGAAAGCATAACTTTGTAGTTGGCTATAACAAGCTTAATTATGAAACTTCGAATACTGCTAAGAAGAAGTTTCCCTCTCATTATCAAAACCAATGATCTAAAATGTCTCAAATAACTGATCTGAAGAAGTCTAGCTTCTCTATTGGTAACAAGGTGATTGACATACATGAAGGGCAGAAGAAAGCTCTCAATGCTAGTGTTGATCTTTCTCATAAAATCAAGAATCTGAGGAAGCTCAGCACCAGTAATACAGACAGGTATAGAAGAAAAAGAAATAAAGGAAAATCTTTGTTTGAGCTGATGAAACAGAAAAATATAGTCTATGGGTATGAAAAATCTCCCCAGTTTAGTACTTCAAATAAGCTATATGCTTCGTCAAATCCTGATGATTTTGCCAAACAGCTTTCTGAGCAAGATAAACTATTAAAGAAAAAGAGTAGCTTTATGTTTGGAAGAGATGTACCTGATTTTCATACTAGCAATAAAATGAAGCCTGTAAAGTTAGATACTGAAAGAAATAGAAAGAAGGTATTACATCTTCCTCGCCCAGAGAAGCATAATCCAACCCAGTATTCTCACTTCAAGATCGGTAATGACCCTAAGGGGGGAGTGCCATCTTCAACCACTTATAAAGACAGCACCCAGATTTATAAAAGCAAAAGCTCTGGACCGATTTATAGTCCTCAAAGCCCAATGGATGGCATGAGATCGAACCTGAAACTAGGAAATTACACAGATACTTTGAAGTCTGAAACTAAGGACAAATATGTCGCAAAGAGGTTTTCAGTTGACGATGGCAAGAAAGTCAAGGATATTATGAAGAGCATTAACTCTAAGTTCCTTGTACAAGATTTGAATATTTCGAAGATTAACTCTCCTAATCATTTTCAGACTACACATCAGGTTTTTGCCAATAGTGTGGCGAATAGAGGAAAGAAAGTCAGTTTTGAAGGAGATATTACTCATAGAGTAAGACTTGAATTAATTTTAATAGTCTTGTGTGAAGAAGAGTGATTTTTCCATGAATGGTCAAAAGACTAACTTTAGGTAAACTTTCACTAATATCAATATTTTAACTAAACTCCTTTAGCATTGGATATATGGATCATAAATCTCACTCAAGCAAGGCCATATCTTCTCCTCAGAGCAAATATAAAGCCAAATACAAGCCAACTATGATAGTTAAGCCAGCGATTGGCAACTTTGGAATAGATAATTTCCAGCTTGCCCAAAAGTCGTTAAGGAACGTTTAAATTTTCAATCATAAAGTCTCTAAAAGGGGTTTTGGGGTTTTGGGGTTTTGGGGTTTTGGGG